TAGATATAAATTTTTCCGTAATCTTGCGCCATTTGAGGTTGCATGTAAAGTTAATAAAAAGATCTGGTTTACCATATTTTTTAATTATAGCTATAGGAACTCCTACATTAGTTAACGGCAAAACTATAACACGCCCTGGTCTAACTTTATAATCATTTCCGAGGTTGTTTACATGTTCATGTAAGGCATCAGATTGCTCGCTTCTCAGTTTGTTTTGGTTATTTCTGATAAAAGCAAGATGCAGCCTTTCAATTTTGACACATGCATCAATAGCATATTGCTGTAATAGTTTCTTGCCATAAAATATTGAACAGAAGTTTTTTCATACTGAAAGCCTATAATTGTAAAAATGAGATAATGTAACACGATTTCTAACCAGTGTTACATGTTCAGGGTTGTGCACCAATTAGTTATGCAAACATGCCTCACCTCTTGGAAAAAATAGTGGATAAAACATAGGATTTAAGTTGAATGATATGTTCAATATAATTCTTAGAAGATTATCTCTTGGGTAAATAACAGCTTCCCTGGAAACATGTGGAACACCAACTTCACCGACAAACACAACTGCAACTTCATTATGTGAAGGCAGATTTTAACGACGTTTATTCTGTCTTTTCAAGTAAAGACATTTTTACAACTGAGAATAACCCTAATACTGACCTTCTTAGCTCCTTAATGAATTTCTTCATCTTCTACTTCAGCCATGTTTTTAAATGCAAGAGCAAACGAGTTCACTTCACTAACTAGTTTGCAAATGAAACATTAAATCAAGCTGACGGAAGTAGTGAAAACGGAAGCAAAACTACCTATCCATTATGGCAACATAGAAAATGTGTTTCATCATGAAACTTTATCGCACCACAATGCTGACAGATCTGTTTCAATTCTCCTTAAAAATTATAATCTGGATATAATCTAATATTTAAGTTTAAATACAGCTCAAAAAGTCTTTCGCCTGTTGAAAAATTAACTAAAACTCTTAACTATTTTATTTGGCCCAATTTAACTTTATAGGAATGATTAAAATAAATAAAAAATGAACCCCTCTGACGCTCGAAACAGTGGTCTCACTCGCCACACCTTTGTTACTATACTGCGTTAATTAAGTTAGTTTTTTAAATTTTAATTAATATTAAAATTGCACAAAAGATTACAATATCAATGATATAAAAGATTACAATGTCAATTGAATGATAATTTATGTGGATTTTATGTGATATATATTTATGTGGATATTATGTGATAAATATTTATGTCGATATTATTTGGATATATATTAAACCTTGATTGAGTAAAATAGAAATTAAGATAACATTTTCAAGATTTAGCTGCTTCCTCACCAACTAAATCAAGTGTAACTGGTGAAGTATAAACAACTTCCCCAGCATTTGCTAATACTTTTAATACTAATACGAATGAAAGCTGGGAACTTTAACCAATCACATGTCTCTAACAACTTCTTATATGTATCATTGCAGTTTTTATCAATTTTTTCCGGATCAATTGGATCTTTGCAATTGATTTCAATTAAAATGTTATGTAATCTGATAATAACTTCTTCATCAATTTCTAAAACTTTGCTGAGTAATAGAGGGTCAGAAAAAGCTTGTCAAAATAAATTTCCGGTGTTACTAGTTCCTGATCCGCCAGCTTTTGGCGGATCAGGAACAACCAAATTTTTCAAACATCTTATTGTGAATAAATTTTTTTCTTATAAAATATTGATCTTTTAAAACCTTTTTTACTTTCCAAGTTTTTATTTTAATTCTATGTAGAATATGTAAAATAAATTCAAAAATCCTAATCCAAGCATGAAGTGGAGAAATGCCATAGCACAATGTCTGCAAATCTGAAACAAATCCTTTTTAAAAGGTTTTTAGATTGCTCATCATGTTAAGTGTGGCGTGACAAATTGGACAACATTGTATCGAAGAAGTGTCCGTGATGTAAACAGGGCAGTCATAAAGAGATCTCTCATGGGAGTGGGGTGGGGTGTCGTATGTGTTTTTAGCTAACTAGAGACACAAAAGAAATAAAATAAAAAAAAAAGGTCCTCAATACTTGACATTTGCAAACCATACTTTAAAACTTGCCAACTGAAATGCTAAATGTAAAATGTGCCAACTCAAATGCATATATATAACAGCTTTAGGAGGGTGGGACACCCCCTACACACCCCGTTCGGGACGGCCGTATATTTAAACTAAGATTTTCCCATCAACCATTGAAAAAACAAAACTATAGTTAATAAAAACTTACTTATGTCCTAGGAGGTTAACTTTAACAGGATAAAAATTAAGAATTTCTTTTTCAATTTCTTCCTTAATTTTTAATACAACTTCTTTATTTTCATTTTATATACTCCAGCATAAATGGTCTCCAAAATCTAATATTCTGAGACATTAGGTTATTCCATAAAATATTGTTTGAATCAGATTATACATATAGTCGGTGATGTTGGTGTAACAATTGATCCAAATTTTAAAAGGCTATTTTAATTGACTGATTGATAGTATTTTGAGTGACTTAATGTTCCGTTCATACCCCAACTACTAATTAGTATTAATTCATTTAAGTCTTTTTTTTATCATCCAAATATTTTAAAATTTCTCTTGCCTGTAGTTTCACAACTCTCTCGGATGTGTGAGCAATAAGATCCTGAAGATTAACTTTGGCCTTTGTTTTATTAACTTCAATGAATGTTTTTAAAGCACTTGTTTTTTATTTTGGAAATTACTGGATAAGATGGAAATCTGCATGGTGCTTCTTTATGAGTATTTGCATAAACACTTTTTGAAAGTAATTTTACTAAATTGATGTCACATTTATTAAATGCTGTTCTTTGTGCCAATAACAGTATTTTTTTTCAACGGATTCCGTTTTTGAATCAAATGCATTATTTGCTATCAATTGTCTTTTGATACGAGAACTCGATTCATCAAACTCTTTTGTTGGTCGACCTCTTTTTACTGATTCATTTATTAAACCTTCTTGATTACTCGGCAATCAACTAAATCAATTGTTTTAAAAACTTAATTAAGATAAACCTGACTTCTATGCCATAGTGCTACATACTTTGCAAGAGTTAGTTTTAATCTTCTTTTTAATAAATTTATTTTGTCTCCTCTGACTTAAATCCTAGTAATAATGTATTTAAACTAGAGTTAATAAAAAAGACAACCGTTTAATCGTCTTTTCCATTAAAGTTAAACCATGCTTTAAGTTTAGGTTGTCGTGAAAATATCATTTTTAATAAGTTTAGACTTCCTAATGCTAAATCAATCTATAACATTTTTAGAAATTACCTTGGAAGTATAAGATATAGCTGAGCTTGTTATTTTTGAATTTTTCTGAATGGTTTGAAGAGTATGAAACTTTTATGCACAACTGTAGTTAAAATATTTGGTGAAACACAGTCAACAAATAATGCGTGCTGTGACACAACCTATTCATAAATGCCCACAGTGTAGTTGACTTATGCACTACAACGAAGCAGATTGGAACCCTCAAAATAAATGTTGCCTAAATCTAATTTAAACCCACTATTTACATTATCAAAAGTTTTTTCGAAACCTGAAAACATTGCACTATTTGTCTTAAATTGATTTCCTCCACTTTCTTAGTTCACAACAATAAACTTAGAAAGTAAAAAGAAACCTTTTAACAACATTTAGAAATTCATATAGCCTTTGGTCGGTTAGTGGGACATCAAAAAGGCACTTAAAAATTATTTTTTCTTAAATTATGTATTTTAAAACCATAAACACATGAAATTAAAAATAAAAAATAACTTTTTTCTTTTTAAGAGCAACACGAAAACAAATTTAATTTAGTCTTTCATGCTGTAAAGTAGTAATTTTTTACTTTAAGAAATAAATGAAAAAAAATGTTTTTATTCGAAGAAGTTTTTTATTTGTTAAAAAAAAACATCAACTTTTCAAAATTGATGCTTTTTTTAACAAACAAAAAACTTTTTTTCAAGATGCGGATGATCGCAGCCACACTTCTCAGGGTAGTTAGTAGACACTATAGAACTAAAAGTATCAAAATATGGAAAAAATAGAAATATTTTTAATTCTTTATCAAAGTTAAAATTTATTAATTTTGTATTTTACTTACAATGCTAAATATTGTTGTAGCAACTTTATCAGGAAATTTTTATTTTTAAGTCTATATTATAACCTTTGGGGTCGTCCATAAAGTACGTACGCTTTTTTCTTGCCAAACCCCCCCCCTTCCCCGCACAATTTGCCGAACGCTTTTTTGAGTAATCTCTACCTCCCTAAAAGTACCTACGCTTTTAACCTACTAACCCAACATTTTATGATATTTTTTTAAATTAAGTGTCTCCAAACTTTTATAATTGAGCTACTGCCCCCTTATCTCAAAAACGCCATTTGCAGACCTCCTCTTCCTCTCCGAGCGTACGTACTTTATAAACGATCCCTTTCCATTGCTGTATTGTCAATTTTTCAATGATCTATTATTAAAAAAAAATTACTAAAACTCAACATCTTGATAATTTTTATTAAAAATTCTTTAAAAACCTAACTTCAAGAAACCTGTCACACTTAGAATTTCATAAATTGGAAAATTCTTAGTGTGGGTGTTAGTAACAAAACCCACTATCAGACATGTTTGAAGCAAGTCACTTTTTTAATTTTTGGCCATGTGATTTCGCACTGTGCATTGTAGTTTAGCTATATTTTGTCGACGCTGAAAAATTACACCTGGATCTTTGATTTAAAAGTTTTAAGAGCTTTTTAGAGATTTATATTATTAGGTAATTATTTTTTTTGTTGAAAAATGAAACAAAATAATTATGCAAAAAATCATTTAATTTTTTTTTTATAAATAAATATCCACAAAAATTGCTATTAAATTAATTTAGATTATTTAAATAAAAATAAAAACATAAAATAAAGTAATATTTTTAAATTTAAGAAGATTTAAAAAAATAAAAATTTTGCATCAAAATATAAAAATTAGAAAAATCATTTAAAAGTAACCGATATTTATAAAAATTAAAGATTTATTAGGATGTACAAGTTTCACGATCGTCACGTATTGAATCAGATTTTTCTGTTCTTTCTTTAGTTTTTAATACACTAGGTATCTTTGCTTTGATAAGATTTTTAGAATGATTTGTTTTTCGACAATCCATACTACTATCCCATGTGCCTTTAAAATTTCCCCAGGGAAAATCTTTAGAACGTTTCACTCCAGGTAAGAGATGCCCATTTTCATCACTAATGAACTTCGTAGATCCTTGTCGCGCATCTGGATGCTATTGTAACAACAACAAAAAAAATTGTTTAGAGCTTTTTTTCTATGGTTTAAAAATGGCTTTTAAAATCATCTTAAACAAACAAATATTTCGCCGATTGAAACCTCAGAGTTTAATTAATAATTAAAGTTGTTTTATTTTAATTACATATGTTTGCTATCCAATTTTTTTTTTTTTTTTTGTTATTCACCTCCTCAAAGCCGATAAGGCCACTACAGATGAGGAGGCTACTTAATAGTGGTTATAACCCTCTCTCAACTCTATAACTCTGAAACACGAACCCTGACAAACAAGGCCACTGCGCAGAGAAACAAGTTGAGCGCGGTACTCCAGGGACGTGGTGGGGATCGAACTCAGAACCTCTCGCTTATGAAGCGAGCGTTTTACTACTACACCACTACCGCATAATATTTGAATATTGTTGAAGCCTATACATTGCATACATAAGAATAAAAGTACACACAAGTTTATATACTTGTATACATCCATACAAAAGTGTAAATTAAAAACTAAACAATTAAAACTTTGCTTCATAATAAATATTAATTAATATTTAAATAAGATATAAAGGTATTTTAAATCTTATTTCACAACTTCTTTTATTTAAATATTTGATCACCACTGAACTCCTTTAAACTGTTATGATTAGCGGTTGTTTTTTAATAATTACATTGTACTTTATTGTACTTTGTTTTTCTAATTTTATCTGATGATTTATAAAATGAAATAAAATATTAAAGTTTAAATCATAATTTTTAATAATCATAAAAATAATAGTAGATAATATGGTTTTATAATGAGATTTTATATCAGAATTCAAGATTAATATAAATATTTTTTATTGAATAACAGCTATTGAATTTAGAGATAAAAGCAGAGTTTACAGTTTTTAAAAAGCTAAAAATTTAAAAACGAGTAGCATTTCCAGATATCGCAATTTGCAATCACTTAATTCGAGCCTTGCTCTTATTCGTCCATGTAGAGAATACTGTTGTCATATTTGGGCTGGTTCTTCTAATTATCCTCTTTCTCTTCTAGACAAGGTCCAAAAACGCATTGAAAATGTAGCTGGAACTGCTCTATCAACTAAGCTAAGCCACTTTCCCATCATCGTAAAGTAGCATCTTTTTCTCTTTTCTTCAAATACTATTATGGTCACTGCTCAAGGGAGCTATAATCTTTAGTTCTATCAGCTACAACTCATTCTCAATTGACTTATCATTCAGCAAAGTCTCATTCGTTTACTGTATCTATCTATGGATGGTCTAAAAACTTTTATTTGCCTAGTTCCATCTTCATGTTTTCCTGACTCATACAACCTACAACTTTTCAAATATTCTGTCAACCCTTTCCTTGCTCTATAACTATATTCTTTTTTCTAGTAACTCCCAACTTACTAGTGGTTGCTTGCATCTTTATTGGGAGTGATACAGAATAAAACTAAAAAAAAAGCTATTCTGGTAAGATTTCTCGGTAAACCATTTCTTTAGTAATTATTTAGGCACCACATTGCAGAGATAAACATTACTTGGACTTTGAAGCAATTTTGAAGGTCAAAATAATATATTAATAACTTACTAAAAGATTTTCAGATCAATAACATAACTTTATTAATAAGAATAAGCCAATGGTGCTGTAGAAAAGTTCAAACAATTTCCAGAGCAAAACCTTGTTGTTGGCATTGAATTTTGCAAACTCTGTTTGAAGGCTAAAGAATTTGTAACTAATGCACTAAAACATGAAACTTTCCCAGGTATGTAGTAATAATATAAAAAATATTATTTTTTCCATAAATATATTTTTATTTTGAAGGAATTAAGTTGGAATATTTTAGAAATGTTTATATGCATTTGTAGATTACTTGGTAACTAAAAGAATGTTAAATCTGAGAAATCAAGAAACTTTCACATCTATCAACCTGGCTCCTGTCACAATCCAAGGTTTATAGCCTACGCCATTTACTTTCTAGTGCTTGCTATGACATTCAGAGTCAATGAATATCTGATTCCTAAGAAGAAATGTATGTTCTCTAAGGTAGCTATTTACTATAGACATGCCTTTCTTAAACCCAACAAAGCGGAGTATGCCGTTCTCAATTCTCAATATTTGCGAAACTACATGCAGTATTCCCAATAGACAAATACAATTGAAACTTTGCATTTAACCCAACTAAATGTGATAGAACAGGATAAGTAACTGCAATTTTTGATTTTTAAACTTTTTTCTCCTAAAACTGTCATTCCTCTGCATGCTGATACCCAATCATCTTTACACTCTAAATGTCCCAATCATCTTAATCTTCTCTGACACACTCTATTAGATACACTCACTATTCCTATTCTCTAAGATCATGACTTTTTTCTTATCTTTTCTTATTCTTTTTTATCTCCTTATATTTCTAAATTCAATAACATTTTTTATATCTTCATTCAAGTCCTTAAATGTTTAATGAAAACAGATATAGATAATTCTTAAAGCAGACTATCTAGTTAATGTCATTCTTTACTAAAATTCCTATTTAGAAAAAATTTCAATAAAAAAGTTAATAAAAACATCACTGATATAAAGGTATAAATTTTTGTGTAAACAGCCCAAAAATAGCCTTAACAAAATAACTCATGTGGCAATAGGGTAGCAGTGGGTATAAAATATGTTTTGTAGATAGAGTTTGATGAATAGGATAAAAATAGGACAAAGAAATTTTTAGTTGATGTTTTTGAAATATGTACTTGTTATGTTAATAATATCCTTAACTTTTAACTTAACTACAATGATTGGTTGTCCTTTTCATCAAATCTAATGTGGTTACTTGATAAAGTGAAATTATGAGAAGAAAATCAAAGAAAAAAAATCCTGAGACCTGAAAGCCTGTAAAACAGAAGAAAAACTTAAAAAAAAAATGATACACATGATAACAAGTATTGGGAAACAGAATTAATCAAATTATACCTAACAATGAATCAAAAACTGTTTTAAATGCCTCAAAAGCATTATTGCTGAATTTAAGTAAATATAAAAACTACATCATTGCAATCAAGTTTAAAATTTATAATATTAAAATCATATAATGATTTTAATATTATTTTAATATTGCAGTATGTATTATGCGGTAGTGGTGTAGTGTAGTTTTCAAAAAAAAATTTAAACATCTAATCTTTACTGGTTACTAACCTTTTTATGATTTCGAGGTATTTCGTAGTTTTGCAGGCGCTTAGCAGTGAACGAATTTTCATACTAAAAATACAAAAATATAGATTTAATTATATATATATATATATATATATATATATATATATATATATATATATATATATATATATTATATATTTTGGTGGGTCAAAAAAAAATTTTTTCTTGTTATAGGCTCTAATCATTGCTTATAGTTATTAATATTGATACTATCAAATATGAGAATGATTGTGATAGATTTAAAGGGCGCAACTTTATTGGGAAAATTACCGGTACCCTAATATTTTGGAAAAAAGTTTTTCAAAAGTAGGTCAACCTGGTACTCAAAAGAAGGGAAATTTTATAATAAATACGAAAATAATAATTGTTTCATAAAAATCATATTGCCGAAAAAAATTGTTATTAAAAAACATGTAAAAATGCACCTTTTTCACTTTTAGTTAAAAAACTATAGTTATTA